TCGTGGATAATGACTTTTTTTTTCATGTTTACTATCTCAATAAATCACAGGCTCAACTACAGAGTTACTTCAAAAACTTTAGCTTTCGTTTCATCCAGTCAACAAAAAAAAAAGTCTTTTGAACAGTACACCCCCCCTGCCTTTCCTCCTCTCCCCCTCCTCCTCCCAAGTCAGGGTCCCACCTTCAAAGAAGTGTCAGCCGTGGTACACTTCTCGTCTGTGCAACATAACACCAGTACACAGTTTCAACATCAAAATGCAATAAATAAAAGGCATGAAATTCTGTGTGAGATTGTGGGCTAACACTGACAGGCCGCACCATAAGGTGATGGTGGAGCCACAGCATGTATCAGTGATAAACACAGGCCCACAGTTCGCTCTGATCCCACTCTCTCCCGGCTGGCATCCGCTTTTCACAGTCATGTTTGGTTTTCTGTTTTTTTTTTCTCTCTCTACACCTCCTCTACACTAACAAACTGTCTCGTTTTTCCACATTGGTTCCCTCCTACGTATTTGCCTCCTGTTCTTCCTTTTTCTTTTTTTCCAAATCCCTCTCACACTTTCTCTGCCTTCTCTCCCCCGTCTGTTTCTCACTCCCCTGCTCGCTACACCGTTGCCACGGCTCTTACCTTTTCCCCCGTAGGGCCGTGTGTCTGCTGTAATGAATTGTACTTAATTGCCGACTGGGATCTGCAGCCTTAAATATAATTCTCAGGACATTTAACCCGGGTCACTGTGAATGATAAACACACCTTCATAAATTGGCTAGGGTTTAGAGCAGAGAGGAAAACCATTTTTCTCCTCAGCCTCCACCACGGTATTCAATACGCTGTAAATGCTAATAATTAGGTTGTTCACACCAAATTATACCGTGTTTTCATAAACGTTGAGCTAAGCCACTAGCCATGAAGCTAAAAACTCAACAATGTGAGCAGTTTGACATAAAATAAAACTCATCTGTTTGTAAACAGCACAACCAGTATTTGAAATAAATGACGACTGTGAATAAAAGGAAACGAATTTTAACGATAAATTTAAACCTGTTAACATTAAAGCAAAGCTTTGAATTAGAAAACTTAACGAGCATAAAAATAATTGAAACTGCAGGCAGTGCAGATCGAGCCACCATTACTGTGCTGCTGTTGGCAGATCATTACAGGCTGTAGTGTTTGGTACTTGGACCTACCGTGTTAGACGGAGTCAGCAGGCTGCAGGATATACAGTAGGTGTTAGACGCTCAGAGTCAGCAGGCTGCAGGATATACAGTATGACAGGTGAGAAATTAAAATATACTTCTACACTATGACTGAGACAAACATAAACAAGGACCGAGATTTTAAAAGTCTCCAAGAGAAAAACTTATTGAAGTACAGGAGGTCCTCGGTTTATGACGTCCTCGACTTATGATGGCGTTTTTAATCCATTTATTTTTATTATATCCTGTTCTATTATTCTGATGAACGATGTTAAAACTGGCCAAATAATTTGCATGGGAGCTAGTTTGTGAGTGGAGTGGATGAATACGTCGTCACAGTGTACGTGGAACACACGTAAATCGACTTACATCGCAATGCAGTAACTCCGATGTAAGTCGAGGACCTCCTGTATTAGTATTATAGTAGTTATTAATTCCAAAACCTATGTTTTTTATAGGCAAGAATTTATAAAAAAAGAAAAAATCTTATAAAGTATGAAAAGGTTTTAAGCTATACTTGAGAATTACTGTTAAAATACTCTGTAGCAAATGTGTATATATGGTACAAGACAAGTCTAAAATCATTTTATAGTATTTGAAGTAAAACGCAGACATTATATACAGTACAAGACAAGACTTAAATCATTTTATAGTATTTGAAGTAAAACAGATCTCACGTACACTAACGTACAACTCCCTTGGTTTAAAGTAGGTCAACAGAAATCGCTCGTTTGCATTCTAAGGTTCTTGTTGGTAAGTGAACTGGGCCAACTCTTTGTATCCAGCGTGCAGCTGTAGGCACTTGCACCTCATGTCCTGGGCCAGAAGATGGAGCGTCTTTGGTTATGACACTCATACATAATAGAAAGAGTGCGTGGGCCAGAGGAGCTGAGGAGTAAAAAGGAGAGTCACAGGGGGGGAGGGGGGTGCAGTTCCAGGTGCCTGGCCAGTAGGACAACCTCCCACATTGCTTCCACCTTCTCTGCCCTGTTTCAATCCATCCCTCCACCTCGGTCTGACACCGGCTCTGAATGCAAAGCCAGATCAAAGTTTGTGTAGCCCTTATGAATAAAAGAGCACAACCCATCTGTTCAGCAGCAGAAAGGGGGAGAAAGGGGGAGAAAGGGAGGTTCGAGCGGGGCGTCCACAAGAAAAAAGGAAGGCTGAGGAACACGCCTGGTGTTGTGTCCCCTAGAAACCAGTTGGCAGGTTCGTATTCGAGTATTGATTTAAGCAAGCGATAATGATGAGGACTCTCCCTTCAACAGCCAAATAATTCAATCAGACAAATAAGAAATCACTCAGTAATTATTAGCTGAAGCAACAGCGACAAAAACAAAAGAACAAAGTACATGCGGTTTTTACAAAAGCCACAGATCTCACCACCTAAGCAGCAATATAACTTACTGTTCACCGGTAACAAAATCCAAATGGACTGCACACCAGTTTGGACACAGCTGGTCCACGGTCCTGTTTTGTCTACAGATTATATTAAAACACCAAGGTCAAACCAC